ACTCAGTCATCCATGCAGGGTCTTTATGTTTAATGCAGGCCTCCAGAGGGAAAAGAAGGGGAAGGAGAAAGGGGTACCAATAGAAAGACAGGCAATAGGGGGTTAGATGCCCAGAGAGATTAGCAACTGCTGCTCAGTATGAGAGACCCATGCATGTGAATATGAACCCTCAATACGGGCCTCAAATGTTAATGGGGGAATTCATATTAGGCCGAAGCCTGCGTACACCTGCCCTGTAATAAAGGGGTTCGAGATGATTAGTCCAATTCAGCTGTAACCTGAAAGCTGGTCTCCTCTCAGTGTTGAGAAATATGTCAAATCCAAGTATGAATGACAAGTGTTGCTTTCTGACACTGTCACGCAATATGTCGCAGCTGGCACAGGGATGACCCTCAGACCCTGGCCTTCCAGAAGGGTCAGTCCCATGTGGACAAACATTGGTGACCCACTGCTGGCACTGTTTGTTGCCGAGAACCGTTATTGTTTGGGTGAGGGAATTGTCTGTTCTGCTTAGAGACCTTGGGTTGATTTTTTTGTTTACCAAAAACTTTTTTTATTTAAAGAAAGTCATACTGTGAAGACTCATGTTGTATTAAAATCTTGTAATGTCAAAATCAGTAAAACATTCATTCATTCATTTTCTGCCCTTTTATAAGTCAATTTCTGGGTTTGGGGGGTGGCAATGAGAGCTGCCACCCAATGCTGGCAGCTCATGCTGTAAAACAATGCATATTTTTTCCATTTTCTTCCCCAGATGATTCTGCTTGTCATGATTCGTCCTCATAATAACAAAAAATCATTCAATAACTGCAAAATGTGCATAATCGTCTTGATACTTCAACTGGTGTATTGTTATAACCAAAGCAAACAAGTCTTCTCTTATTCAAATATATTCATAAGGTAGCGTAAAATAAATGATTTTCCCCTGAAACTGTTCTTATCTATTGGAGATTTGAGTTCAAATCAAATGCTTCGTCTAGTTCATTGCAACAAAGCAGTGCCTGGTTCAAAGTTCAAAGATCCTCAGAGCTGTAAAAACCTAACCAGACCAGGAGTTAACTTTCTACTAAAACAAATAAACTAAGTCAAAACACACCAGTTTGACTCCGTGAAATGTATTTGTTAAAAAGTGAACTTAAAATGCACATGGAGGTCAGTTATGAATAATACAATAATAATCTCATGGAGAGACCAATCGACTGTACCTTACACCCCGCTGGTTAAAAAAATCATTCGGTCTCTCAAGTACAATGTGCGCAGTGTGCGAAACATCTGCGTCCCTCTATGAACCTTCCCCCAGTGAATTGTGCCTGTTCAGCCTCCAGTCAATACACGCAGCACTGGCTGAGACGCCGCTTCATTACGCAGCTGGTCTGTGCGAGATCTCCTTAGGGTCTATTTGTTTCTGTTACTGTATATACTATTTGTGAGTGAATTGTGTCCCCAGCCACTTCCCAGTACCTCCTCTTCTCCACCAGTGCTGTCAGACAGTAATGTGACAAGCTGCCAATCAAACGTAGGCCTGGGGTTTCCCGACGACCAAACACTTTTTGGGTTTTTGTAAGGAGCACTAGGGAGGACGGCAACAGCGGGGAAGTACGTACAACCAAAACAAAATGTCCAAACTGCTGCCAATCCTGTCTTCTTTTCTACCATCTCTGCTTCGTTTATCTAGCCGTCGCCCTGATGTGGATGGTGACCTCGGGCTGGGGTCACTCACATGTGGAGGGCTGTGCTTTCCTGGGGCGGCTGATCTAAGTGTCGGCCCGCTCCCTTCTGCCAGGGGCCCGTGGGGTGCTGCCAGTTGTCCACTCTGAAGTGTGATTTGTTGTGATGGCCAGAGCTCCACTCGGGGGAGTCGTGGTCAGAGACACCTGTGGAAGGTGCAGGGCAGAGTAGATGCAATTGGACTGGTTTTCAAAGTAATATGAAGCGTTAAAAGCAGCGCAGGTGTTTGGGAGACTATGAAACAAATATGATTTTTTTTTATTATGACAGAAAAGCTTTATCAATCGATCAAGTTTTATTTATAGAGCACTTTTTCCTACACAGAAAGCTTCAAAGCCAATCATAAATAATCTCAATGCATTAAAAAGAGTGAATATACGATGCTTAGGTTATATGCGCAGGTAAACAAAACTGTTTTTCGGCAGGGGAACTTTCATGAGTAAATAGTAAGATTGAAAAGCTGCCTATGATAGAGCTACCATATTTTACCGTTTCAATCAAAAATCCACTTGTGTCTGTCTATTTGTCCAAAATGTATTGTTGAAATAGTGTATTTGCGTTCAGGCTGAAACGATTAAATGAGTCAAATCAATAAAAAAAAGTAATAATCTGAATCGTATTGCACCGCTCACTGCATATTGCATGCACCATGGTACTTGGGTATTGTATTGTAAATTGTAATCATTTTAATCTTAATTTTTATGTATCTTCTTCAAAGTGTATGCACATTTTTATTATGCCTTACTCTATTCTCTACCTCTCTTCTTTGACTGTTGCACCGAGAGCCAAAGCAACTTCCTAGTCTGTGACTTCTTGTTACTTACGTGGCAATAAAAATGATTCTGATTTTATTATAATTTGTTGTCTTGATTAATCAGTTTATTTCCATAATTTGTTAAAGCCATTTGAAACTGTATAGCAGATCAAGCAGAGAGATGTGCTTGTCGTCTGTGTTCGCACTTTAAACAATCCTAAGTTGAATATTATTTGAGTTTAATTTGATTTAGATTTTAAGCATACAGTATATACCATTCTTCAATAAGATTCAGTTTGTTTCAACTTTCACATTACTACAGTGCTAATCTTGTAGCTTTTTTTTTTTGTAAAGCAAAAGAGGCTTATGGAGTTGCTCTTATCATACAGGTCTTTTAAAGAAATGTCATGAGTGAACAAGAATCCTTATGGAGTCAGCAGATGACACTGACTGCGACCACAGCACAATGGATGCACAGATATATACGATAACAAGCCCTGATGTCCTGGGTGGTTTTACTTGATGTGGAGGTCTTTATCAAAGAGGATCATCGTTCACACTTGGTTGTCCTTTGGTCTCATGCGGAGAGCAGAGAATCTTTCACCACACTCTCTATAGGGCACCTGAGCACTTGAGTACCGTCTAAACTTTGCAAGAGTGACTTTTTACCTGTCACAAGATTATTAGTTCAAATCTGCACAAGCTGCTGAAGGGGTAAAGTTGTTGCATTTTTTTTGGTTGGATGTATTTCTGGATATACAGTGCTGACTCCACCCTCCAGAGACATAATGTATATATAGGTATATGTTTGATTGATGATTGTGTTGGCAGGATTCAACATTACATGCAAATCCTGAAATGTGTCACTTTGAGAAAGAGTCTCCTTCCTCGTCGTTGGGATGGCTATACAGGGAAAATAAAGTTTTCTTTACAGTAATCAAATGCGCCAACTCTTAGAAACAATGTGACTTTTGTTTTGTCTGTTTAGCAGTTTCCCGGAAGCAAGGACAATAACATAAAACAAAACAATATCCTCATCTTTTGAGAAGAAAAAAATCTGACACTACAGCAGCCTAATGAAGCTGAAACCTTTCCACCGGTAAATACTGTATGTTTTACTGTATCCACACACAATCCCTCAAACAAATGGACTTTGTTTCACTCCAAGTTGCTTACTTAGCACATATGCATCATTATTGTAATATGTCACCCCCTTGCTTTTTTGGAGGATGATATTAGCGGCCGTCTTACCTCTAAGTGATAGTTTCTTTGCTCCTGCCCGCTGAGTTTGGCCTCATTAATGCTCTCTTCTTTCCATCATCGTCCTCGGTTAAGATACTTCCTTCTGTGGGCCACACAGCAGTGACAAGGGTAAAATTATGTCTGTTTTACTTTTCTCATCTAATTAAGGATTTGCACTATTATTTTTCATAGACTCTGCTGAAGATGTGTGACCGACTGAATGTCTCAACTGAGTATGCTTACAATAATTGAACCGGTGAAATATTGTTTCTATCCTTTTATTTAGTATTATTTGATACCTAAGACATTTGTAAGCATTTTAGTAGAAATAAGGTCCTACCAGTTATCATGTGATCATATTTAACTAAACAGAAAAGTGAGTGAACAGATATTTGTCATCGCCAGGAATATTATTATTATTTTATAACTATATTCCCAAGGAAGGACTATTGTTTAGAATGTTGTTTTTATTATTCCAAGGTAATATTTTGATATGAACCTTTGATGTTGATTTCCACTCAATGAATGCATGTCTTCTGTCTCCCTCAGTCTGCTTGAGATGTTCCAGGGAATATGATGGAACACCCTCCAGTGTTTTGCCCATTTTTTTCGGATTGGGCCTTGACCATTGACCCTTTTCTTATGGCCCAGGCATTACTATGTACTGTGACATAATGTAATCATAATTTATTTCCAATCCGAATTTGAAATAATATTTTCATAATATTTAGTTATTTTTTAATATTTTCATGAATTTATTCTCAGTTGTTTTTCTATCAAATAATATAATTTATATATTGACTTTTTGTCTGTGACTGATTTCTTTTTGTGTGCAGAAATGCTCATTTTGAATAGAGAACCTCATTGGCTGAAGCTGAACACGTGACCCGGAAGTGATTCTCACGGTGTGTGTTGTGTTTACAACACTGTCCTCCTCCATACAACCGCACGGGCTTCTTGACTTCAACTATATTTGCTGCTAAACACCAAAGCCCTCTTTAACTAAATGAAACTGAGCTGACATTCTGTTTGGCGTGTTTGAGGTGAACGGAGCATGAAGCAGCCAGAGTCTGATGGAGACAGGCTAAAGTTACTGTTCCTGAGCCTGGATCTTCACCTCAAAGAAGGTCAGCCTTGAATTAGCAGCGCTCAACACTGCATTTTACACAAGTGTATAAACTGCAATTTAAAGGCAAGAGAATGGACGTGGTTTCAGTATTGACGTGTGGATGTGCGTGTTAGCCTGTGGACAAAGGGGCTAACACACTACAGTGAAATGAAGAGCATCCCTCTCACATTAAGGTAATCCATCACAAAGTGTGATTACAGTTTTATTTAGTTTGGAAATGGCATCTTCATCCTATATGTTGCGTTTCTCTGTTTTGCTCAGGGAATATTTCAAGCATGGTATTGTGCTGTAAGCCCTGTATAACATGACATTGCCAGAGGTTTGCTGGGATCGCCATATACCGCTGCCAAAGCTTTCACCTCTTCAAGCAAAGCTCTGCGTGAGCCTGGTGGCACTACTTTGCTTTATTAACAGTTATGATGGGGAGTTTGTGTTTGATGACTCTGAAGCAATTGTCAACAACAAGGTTTGCCATCTTGCACACAGTATTGAGATGTACACATGGATTCACGTGTGTACTGTACTTTCAGGACTTGAGACCAACAACGCCTCTTGGCAACCTTTGGAGGAATGACTTTTGGGGGAGTAACCTTAGCAGCAACTCAAGTCACAAATCCTACAGACCTTTCACTGTCCTAACTTTTAGGTACAATTGTAATTAAATTTGGTTCGGATTTGTATTTGTACAAAGTTAATTTTAGATTTATATTTGTTCAAAGCATTATAAAGTTATACTATGACCAAATGTACATACTGATTTTGATTAAAGTTATCAAATGCATATCAATCAGACTTAATCAAGAGCATCCCTCTCTCGCTGTAGGCTGAACTACCTCTTGGTGGGAGGTCTGCACCCTGTCGGCTTCCATGTGTTGAATATCCTCCTTCATGCAATTATATCCGCCCTCATGATTGACATGTTTGCTATTCTGATGGGTGGATTGTCCTATGATGAAAAGAGAAGTATCCAGAACCTTGCTCCTAAGACCTCTCTGTTGGCTGCACTCTTCTTCGCTGCTCATCCGGTGCACACAGAAAGTGTAAGCAACTGCAGCTATGACTAAATATTACTGGAACAACACTTTTGTTTTTATCACATTTTTCAAGATTTTTCAAACATTTTTACTCTACACAAGACAATTTCTCTCAAATATAGTTCACAAGTGTTGCATGGACTGCATGAATAATTCTCACATGTGCCTTACGGCTGGTGACAATAGAAATCAAACACTCTAAATTGTATAGTTTATCACAGAGCACAACGCACACGGTTGGCATGTGACAATGTTTGGGATTTAAGTGTTGATTTCTCTTCCCATATCTTTTTATCTTTTAATTTCGGTACATCCCTTTGTTCACTTTTTGACAGTGCGTCCAATCACAGGAGATTTGTTGCATTGCTCGGGGCAAATGGTCACGCCCGATTCTGAGTGGTTTCCCCAATAAAGCAAAACTGAACATCTTAGAGCGACCTTATATGGCCAGTGAAAAAATATCACCAACATTTAGACGGATTTGCAAAAAATGTTTTGAAACAATTGGTCTTTTGTGTACTTTTTTTTATCTTACCAGCACCCTTTCCTTTTAATTTGATATCCTAGTAATATTTGTTAGCATTTCTGTTGTAATTTTACTACAAACCTGTGATTATTACTGTATCCAACCATACATTGGGCCTAAAAACATTGTTTCTTTGCAAATAGTGGTACACCAGGACATCTTGGCATTTGAGTCCAGAGGTGTTCATACTAAACATACAGTGGATCCATGCCAAGAACAAAAGCCTTGTCTCAGTTGGAAGCATGGGGAGAAGGTGCATGTGGTACACCGGCCTGACTATTAGATGTGTTAGGATTCTTATTGACCTGCCAGCGATGTGTGTTTGCTGTAAAGCTTGGCTGGAAGGCAGCTATCCCCCTCTTCATTCTCTTTAATCATGCAGGGCAAGGACTGGGCGAAACCTGGGGGGTGTGAGGCAGGCACACAGTTGGCTTGGGCCTGCTGTACGTATCAAAGCAGCCAACCCCAGGATGCCAACCATACTGTACCCACACACTGTATCCTGCACACACAATAGTCCAGCCTCTTAATGAGATATTCTTCCTCTTTATTAATATGTGATAACTCCACATTATGCAAAAGTGGAAATATGGTGTAATTAATTCATCAAGGGTCTGACAAATATGTATCTGCTCTATAATGTAGGTTGCTGGGATAGTGGGCAGAGCGGACCTGCTATGTGCCCTGTTCTTCCAGCTGTCCTTTCTGTCCTACTGCAGAGCCTTCAACAAAGGTTTGTATGTCACTCTTGATCACCTATGCATACTGTCACGTTTGATGCCTTGAAGTTAATTTGATGGATGCATTTGCCTACACACAGCATCATCAGATACATTTGAAGGTCTTTTTATTTGTTTTGTTATTTTTGTAACTGGTGGGTTTTGGCTTTGTGTTTGCAGGAAGTGACAGAGATGACAGGTTTTCTGTCCAGTGGGTTGTGGCCAGCCTCTTGCTGTGTGCTGCAGCAATGCTTTGTAAAGAACAAGGCATCACAGTTTTGGTACGAACATTAATGAGATAACATTTTTAAGAGTGCATTTTTATCCCACTGTAAGCAGAACAAGTTATAAATATACTGCATGTTATAGCATACAGTACATAGATGATCTTTTACTGGCATGTACGCTGTTGTTTGAAAATAACGTGTACATAAGAACATTTTGTTTAAACTTGTAAAAAAAAACTACTCTACCTGAACTGATGATTTATTTTTATTTTTGTGTTTTTTCTTCAGGGGGTGAATGCAGCCTTTGATGTCCTGTTGATATGTAATGTTGATGTGTATGAACTCAGCCAGAGGCTCCTCCTTAGGAAGACGACTTTCAGTGTGAGTGGAAATTAGTAGTTCCTTGATCTTTTTTCATTTTAATATTATAATTTTTAGTTTTTAAGACACTTGGTTTGGCAGTAACTCAGTTTCTAGAGTGCGTGAACTAGGTTGGTGGTTTGAATCCCACTTCAAGCATAAACGTCATTGTTTGAGTTGTCAGATCAACTGACCGACAGGTTGACGGGTTTAACCAGCTCTTGTTGGTAAATGCTGCATCATACTTTAGCCACCTCACACCTTGTACTGTATGTGTGTATGTGTACTGGTGTACAAATGTGTGGTGTGAATGGTTCTGATATATAAAGAGATTTGTTGTGTTTTGGAAGTTGGAAAAACATCATATATGATGTGCCCATTTTGTTCTATATCTGCATGTGTTTGTGCATAACTTGATTCTGTCTGATAGGTAAGTCCTCTTTTTCAAAATGGACTCCCAAAACGATTGGCACTTATGGTTCTTGGAGGCATTTCTATGCTCTATGCCCGCTGGAAGATCATGGGAACTGGCCCCCCTGCTTTCACAGAAGTGGACAACCCGGCCTCATTTGCTGAAAACATCTTCTTTAGAGTTGAGTTTTGCTTTTATTCCACTTGTCAGCAGATATACATCTATCAAGTTCCCTGCTACAATGTATTAATTGATTTTTCTGTGTTTAGATTGTGAACTATAATTATTACTATTGTCTCAATGCATGGCTTTTGATATGTCCTTGGTGGCTCTGCTTTGATTGGTCGATGGGCTGTGTGCCTCTTATAACATCCGCTGCTGATTGGAGGATGGTTTGGCTCATGCTCCTCTGGTGCTTTCTGATTGGCTTGATAAATCAAGCCTTGTGCGCCCAGGACTTGCAGAAAAGAAGGTAATGTTATAGCAAGCTGTAGAATACAAAACCGCAACATGTATTCATTAGTTTGTTTTCTCTTTTGCTGCTTGATGCTCCCCGTCTCTCCATCAGGTCTCTAACTTTAGCCCTGGTGTTACTGGTGGTGCCTTTCCTTCCGGCCTCCAACATGTTCTTCAGAGTGGGCTTTGTCATTGCAGAAAGAGTGCTGTACCTTTCATCAGCTGGATATTGTTTACTTGTTGCCTACTCTGTGGGACAATGCTGTAGCCGCTTCCCCAAATATAGGGTATGTCTTCCAACCTGACCTAAGAATTTGGCTGTAACATAATATTGTCAATTTTATAAGACGCCTCATGACATGTTGTCATCAGGTCTAGTTGTCGCTAATTTAAAATCTTGTATCCCTCCACCTGTTTCTATGGCTTTGATGATTGAGAAGCTTTGTGATTCAAATGATCACAGCCTAAGAAATGACTAATGATTTACCTTTAAAGGGACAGTAACAGCAGGGGGTGCCCACATGTTAGCCCGATACAGTTGCTGTCTATTAACACTCAGTCACACAATTTATTTTAACCTTGAATGTAAACTGTCCTGCTTTACATGCTCACTGCTATATGCCAAGTGTATGTTTTGTGTTTTTTTACCTGTAGAAGCTGTTGTGTGTTTCCATGATGGCACTGCTGTGTGTGTATGTGGTTCGCTGTGCTCTCCGCAGTCACCAGTGGCATTCAGAGAAAACCCTTTTCACCAGCGCCCTGTCTGTCTGCCCCCTCAATGCAAAGGTACACAGTTGTTTCTGTGTATCCATCAGCTTACTAAAGTCATCCACAACCTTCATCGTTTGACCATTCTCTCTGTAGGTCCATTACAATGTAGGTAAAAACTTAGCTGACAGAGGAAACACTACAGCTGCTATTGTGTATTACAGAGAGGCTGTGAGGTGCGTCTTTGCTAACTATGATCTGAACATCAATTGGATAGATACATTATGTCACAATGAATGATGTTTATTTTATTTTTTAGATTGCATCCTACTTACGTCCATGCCATGAACAACTTGGGGAACATACTTAAAGAGAGGAATGAGCTCGTAGAAGCCGAGGATCTACTCTCTAAAGCAGTTTCTATCCAGTAATTCAGTAGAGTTACTAAGTAGTTACTATCTAAAAGATTTTCCTTTGAGTATGAACACAGTAAATTTGTGTTTGCTTTAGATCTGATTTTGCTGCTGCGTGGATGAATCTCGGTATTGTTCAGAACAGTCTGCAGAAGTTTGGGGCGGCAGAGCGCAGTTACTGGAATGCAATCCGATTCCGTAAAAAGTATCCAGACTGCTATTACAATCTGGGACGCTTGGTGAGTGGATTCATTTTCAGTGTAAAGAATAGAAAAAGAAAATGTAATTGAGTTTGTTCTCTCTTCCGATTAGTATGCCGACCAACAGAGACATGTGGAAGCCCTGAACGCCTGGAGGAACGCCACAATGCTAAAGCCTGACCACAGCCTGGCTTGGAACAACATGGTCATTTTGTTGGACAACACAGGTGAAAGCTGACTCCTCCTTTTTTATTGGGTTTAGTCAGATTTAGCTATAGTGACTTTTCTCTTATCTAAATTCAGATACGTCTATTTAGGCAAGGCAAGGCAAGTTTATACGTATAGCACAATGTAGTGCTGAACAAAACAAGATAGAAACAATCACACAACTCATTAAAATCATAAACGTATTATACTATATTTTTTATATATATTTAATTTAATTTAATTTTTAATTTAATTCTTTTAATTTTATGTCATCTTTTCTTTGCATTATAAATGTTGCCTTGTGTGTTTTTTTTAATTATTTTTATTATGACATTCTTCTTGAATTCTACAGGCAAAAACTCAAAAATAAAGTATATATTTATATAAAAGAAATCATAATCAAAGTACATTAACAAGAGTGAAATGCACAGCTAAATAGAACTGTTTTTTTAACCTGGATTTTAACACTGTCAGAGAAGAAGCCTGTCTCACATCTTCAGGCAGACTGTTTCCAGATCGTAGTGCTCATTTTGTCTTTTTCAAATCACGGCATTAATCACAAAAATCTTGTTGATCAGGACCTTTTTTTGTGTATCAAAATAACTGTATTAATGTTTGTAAAGATTACAGCCATTTGACGGCCCCTTTCAACATTACTATGGTGCAGTTATTTTGAAAAGACCAGAAATCTAAATGGTCAACCAGATTAGACCGGAAGAGCAAGAATCAGCAATGCTTGAAATTTATGTATTAAAGCTTTGTGCTGGGAGTTTTGCAGGCACTCCTCCCTGCCGTGTGGAGAATGCTCTGATTTCCAAACGCTCGAGCCGTTTTGTCAGAAGCCGTTCCCGTGAGGGCGGAGTCTCCCAGGAGGCTACTGGAACTGTCCAATCAGAACGCAGTGTGTTTTTGATCAAACATTTGGGGCCGCACAGCCAGAACAGCGCCCCCTCAGAGTCCCCCAACCAAAAGCTGACAGAAATAATTCTACCCCTTTCCCCAGCGCAACAATGAAAGAAAAAAGAGAGAAAAAAACACGGAACAGAAGAACAATGGGAGTAATTTTCATATGACAAGGATTTGGGGATTTTCTGTTCTGTTTTGTTGTTTTGATCATTGTAACAAACAAACAAACCCAAAATCAGACTTGATTGTGCTGCACATGAGTTGCTGTGTCTAAAGAGGCATGACTCAGGACACCGTTGCCATTGTCTTTCTGTCTGACTGGCCTCCGTCTCTCCCTTTTTTTTGCCCATTTTTGGCCAGACATCAGACAGCACCATGACAGAGATCAATAACCCAGTGGGCCTTGTGTTGAGCCTTAATTAGGAGACTAAAATGCTACTCCATGCGTGTTAGCCGAAAAAGTCTGATTTTGCTTTTGCTGTCAAATAGATATTCTCTGTGTCCTGGCTGCATTTGTCATTTATTTTCAGGTAACTTGGGTCAGGCGGAGGCGATCGGCAGAGAGGCTTTAAGAATCGTCCCCAATGACCACACCATAATGTTTTCGCTGGCAAATGTCCTCGGAAAATTACAAAAATACAAGGTAAATATAAAAATTGAATAAAAAAATTATTTGTAAAATGTCAGTGATACATTTATATTCCACGGTTTGGTTTTGGCAGGAGTCGGAAGGCTTTTTTCTCAGCGCTCTTAAGATCAATCCCAATGCTGCCAGTTGCCATGGCAATTTAGGTAAGACTGCTGCAAAATTTGTGTAGGCACGGACTCCTTTTTTGTAAGCAACAAGCCCATACCTGGCCACAAATCACAGACTTGAAACGTGATGGAAAATGTAAGATGTTTTCAAGACATAAATGCAGGCACACACTCACTAGGATCATTTTGAAAAGAAGAATTTCATGTACTTTTACAAACAATCCTTTTATCAAAGCGGCATGACCTTTTGCTAGATAATAATAACTGTATTATTCATGCCAAAATCAGTCTACGACATTTAACTGTAATGAAATGCAGAGCAATCGTCATTTGGTCAAATAATCGGTGAATGGTGTCTTAACCAAAATACGTATCACTTTAATTTATTATATTAAAATTACATGGGGTTTTTTCTATTATAAAAACACTTGCTAAATATCAGAAGCCTTGGAGAAAATGTCCTGAGGACTACATTGACATTCAGGCCAGGTCAAACAAAATTCCGTAGTATTATTCATCTTTTTATTAGTAAATATTTGAGTGATTTAAATAGTTGTTTTTGAGTATTGTAGAACATGGCATCCATTTGACGACTAATCGATCAAATGCGTCTTTAGTCGGCCATAGAACTGCTTTTGGTCACTTCGGCCCTCGTGATTTGATTGTGAACTCTGCAGACGTAGTTTATGTAGAATTAGTCCTCTGTGTTTTTCTGACTGTGGTGTTGTGTGTTGCAGCCGTGTTGTATCACCGCTGGGGGAAGCTGGAGCTGGCACAGAAACACTACGAGATGTCGCTGAAGTTGGACCCTGATGCTCCCGGGACACGAGACAACTACAACATGCTGCGGCGCAAACTGGACCAGATCAAGAGGCAAACGCCATAGTAACACTCCTGCCAGCAGTCACAGCCAATCACACTGATCTACGGAGTATTTATAGGAGGTTTCCACTAATTTATGTTTTGCACAGTTTTAAAATAATAAAACAAACACAATCTTCACTACTGGCAATATGATTTATTTCAATGTACTGTTTACATTTCAATCATGAATCAACTTCATACTCAAAGCAGATACAGTACATATAGAAGTATCATGAATGAGGTGCATAAGTCACAAACACATTCAATTTAAAATAATCTGAGGTACTTTACTTTCAAAGTACAAAAATACAGTATGTTATAAAATCATCACTCTCACTACAGTTTTATGCATGTATTTTTTAACGGTCATTCTTTAGATTGGATTTTTCAGTGAAAGAGACAACCCTCATTCAGCCTAAAAAGTCCAACAGTGATTCACAGGGCTCTTAGAAAAATTCTAAATATAAATATATCTTATTATAATATTTCTAATAAGATGAAGACGGCATGATGTGGTCCGATTTGTTCACAACTCTTTATAAAACATGTATTATTATTATTAACAAATTTAAAATACATAAACATGGAAATGCGTTTGGCAGGTGGCATTAAAGGGATATTTGGAAGTTCTTAAATTCCACCCAGACAATTTTGGACAATATTTCTGTTAATGGTGTGTTTATTTGAGTCTTCATTTTCTGCAGGTGTGCAGGGTACTTAGTTGTCCTCTATGTACTGTTTAACTTCTTCATTCAAAGACCATGTGGCTCTGATCCAAGTTGAACCCGATCTTCTTTTCATCCTTGACCCCTTGTTGTGTCAGCTGGACAGAGCACCATGCATGTGTGGGTCCAATGAGTCTCTGTCTGTATGTATGTGTGGCCTTTACTAATCCTAAATGGCCTGTACTGGTATTCAATATACTCTACTCACAAAATCATTAAACATTATTAAATATTAATCTGATTACATAACAATACTATTGACCTATAAAACACATTAGGACTCAGTTCCTGTAGTTTAGGTAACATTTGCAGAGACCAAAGCATCAAAAACTATAAATAACATTGTTAAAATGTATTTTAATTAACACAATATTAGTGCACAAAACATGGTATCAAGTAAAACAGACACCTTAAGATAGAAACTTCTTATTTTTGTATTATAATTCATCATTTTTGTAGTGTATTTATTTAAAGATTGTCCTTTAATTTATCATTCTGATAAATGATCATTTTAAGACTAATTATTATATAAATGTTGTTGAACAATAGCAAGGCAAAATTGTGTCTTAATTTTTATTAATTTTTACTGCAAATTAAGACAATGATGAGAAAAAAAGTACATTTTGACTTGTTTTAAAGCAAGATTTGCCAATGGGACAATCAAAATTCAAAACATTTCTTGGAATGAGAAATATATTGCAACAGCACTTGAAGTCCTATTATCTTGTTTTAAGATTATAAAGACTATCAAAATATATTCAAGACAATACTTCACAATGATTTAGTTTGCAGTATTATGTAAACAGACCAAAGAGGACTCACGGACATATCCATCCTAAGCATACACTATATGCATACACTATATCTAATGCTTTCCTTTATACCAACACAATATTGTTACATAGTTGCAGCCCCCCCCCCCCCCCCCCCCTGTCCATGTGCCCCCCAGTCCGGTTAATGGGAGAAAGGTGCTAGCCCCTCTGAAGTGTCCATAAAGAGACAAGAGGTCAGTCAGGACAGGAAGCTCATGACTGTTGCCGTATGAAAACACTGGGCCTTCAAAGGGGACAGGCCGATCTCTCCGGAGACTGCACACGCACACAAGAATGCTGCCGAGGGAAGAGTCGACCCCAACGTGAAACATCAGTCAACAAGTGTGCTCCCGGGGCCAAGGGTCAATGCACTCCTATTTTTTCACCTGCTTCCTACAGCTCGGAGGAAACTTTTGAAGCCGCTGCGAGCTGGTATGGCTTTACTTGAAGGGCCCACCGAGTTTGTTTACCCATACAGTACAATACACCACACCAGGCTTTGATGCTTGGGGAAGATGTTACCGAGACACACTTTGGGGTCTCTGCAATCTGACCTGCTAAACATGCAGCTAATATCACATGATGGAGATTCTTTGTTCCTCTTGTTTGCTTTCCGTCTTCACCTTTGATGTATGGAAACGCCGGTGGACATATCTGAAACATCAACAAATAGGACATATGCTGCTTGATTCAGGCATTGTTAAGCCTGTTTCAACAATGTAAAGGTCAGGATGGTTGGAGGACTTCATGCTATGGAGAAAGAGTGCGATCAAAAAGAGGAGAGATAGTGACATTCAACATGGCAACCGCAGTACTTTTTTGTCATGCAGTGTAACATGCGGCGCAGACGGGCTTCGCTTTACCTCCAAAACCATTACTCCTGTTACTTTCTATGTGATCTTTTCATACAGTGTCTAGAGTGACTGTCTGGCTACGTGCTCAGTGGGAGAGCTGACTTTTATCATAATCTTTCTTTGGAATACCTTTCATTATCATAAAATATGTGGGTATTAAAGGGATGGTCCCACTGACGTCTTCATTATCCATTCTGACTGACAAAATATCTGCTGTCCCAGGGAGTGACATTAATAAAAGATGGGATACTAGACATGTTGAAAGTCCTTTTTGGTGTTTCAGCGCTCACCTTTTACCTGCTCGCATTCCCGTCGCAAAATTCTTCTGTCTTTCGATGGCGTCTACTAATCAGACCGCAACTTTTGATCATCAATCGATGTTTGGACATTATTTGCAATTCTCCAAAAGAAAAAAAGCACAAGCTGTATTACAAAATTTAGGTTGACATTTTGTTTTGATTGCCACAAAGCTTGTTATGGAGGGGGAAAAAAAGCAACACGCGTCCTTTTGTGGCAGCGGAATATTCAGTGGAGAAACTAGAAGCACGGGGCACTAATTTGAACCCACTGAGGGTGTTTTGGAACAGCAGGTGTTCTATTCTGCATTTGATAAGCACAGACTACCACCCCCAACAATGTTTTAAAAAAGAAAAAAAGACAAACTGGACACAACAAAATCATGATGCGGAAAATGCAAAAATGACACTAGGAAAGGCTTGAATTAGACATCTTGAACTTGTTTCTGGGCATTGGCTTTCCATGTTTTATCGCTGCTTACGACGTGGTTTGCAAGTATTCTGAATATATATATATCTGTTTCTGAGATTCAATACTTATTCCTTATTTTCTTTAGTAGTAATGCTGTTGATAGTAATCAGTAAGTTCTCCTCCACACAGAGATGGGAGCAGGTTGCCATATACCGGAGGCTCTTGCCAGACCTAATGTACATGTTTTTTAGTGGTAGGGGAAACCAAAACAGCAGGAGGAATCCTACGCAGACACAAGGAGAACATGCATAGTGATGATCTAAATATAGCACATGTATTGTTGAATTGGTCGATGCAATATATACATTCACGTTCATTTGGTAACGGATAACAATGTATGTTCTTGATACTGTTGGCTTCTGTTGTCATAAGCGTATAGGAACATGAAATATTATATATTTTTGCATTATTGGCGCATGTTGATACTTACTTACAGCTAATGTCTACTGCGACTTTCTCATTTAAACTGGAAACATTTATATATTTGACTATTCTTATGAAGGGATGCTCTAAAGACCTATTGTTATCCACTGAACAATGCGAATATTTGATAACCTTTTTGTTGCTATTGGATACGGCATGCACACAATCTAATAGAAATGATGCATGATGCAGAACTTATTTGTTAAGACACCTAATCTGGTTTTGTAGTGCTTGTTTTTTATTCCAGATTTCTCCCCATTTGTTGTTTGTGCAGTTTGCATGGTCACGCAAGACCCAAATGTGCCCAAAAACTCGGACACGATCAAGGACAAGTCTGTGATGGCTCCACTGGGGCTCCTCCTCCGTCCCCCCAACCACAACAACCCTAATGGGCTCTGATGTGCACCTCCATCTTGTCTGTCTAATTGATGTAAATAGTCTGCATTTGAACTTCTCGTCTGTCCCACCATCCTGCCCCTCTTAACAGTACGGGCCAGAGGTCAGGCCGACTGAGTGATCATTAGAATGACAGTCCTTATTAGGGAGCAGCTTGTCTGACACCCTCACTTACCCATCCCAGAGAGGGGACCCACCTTGTCCACTCCATCTAGATCATATTACATGACAAGATAGTACCAGTGCACTCCGACATTGCGGGCCACTATAGGGCACGGTGGCATTTTCCCTGCGCCTCCTTGACACCCTTCTCTCCGTCTGGCCTTGATACCCTTTGTCATTTTAAGGATCGCTACTGTCACAGGGCATTGGGGCTGCTGCTTTCTACTTGCTTTTGGCGTCTGTATTGCACTGTAACAGAGCATCTCGCCACCCTCTCGAGACTCTGTGATGTCTCCGCCAGTGATTAATAGTTAGAGATGGGCTATGAAAATGTCCATTGTGACCAGATGCTACGGCCAGGGCTTTTGCTGAACTGATATAATGGACTCTGGCTGCCAATTTGGCTCTCTTACAAAAGGCTGGAAGTTCCCCAAGACTGATTTTGTTTCAAGTAGTGCCCCTGCGGGCTTGGTGTTGAAGATGCGTTCTTGTATGAAATGTTGCAGAGTATTGTCTTTAAGCTTTGTGCAATTACAGTTAGAAAAATAACACACTCACTGAGTTGAATAAAATAAATTAAAAATCATTCTTGTTTAAAGATGAGGGGTGAGGGGCTTGTTGTGCGAAACAAATGGAAGCAGTCTTATTGGAAGTATAGTGCAGTGAGATGGAAATGTATTAGAAGGCACCAGTTAATGTGTGCATTATTCATTTCTGGTGAGCATGGAAAATGATCTAAAGAGGTTTGAAATTGCAGACGCAAAGGCTGAGTGCACAGTGGCCGGGCAGCTCTTCCTCTGGCAGGCTCTTTGGGCAAAGGAGAGGGGAGGGCATGGGGGTCGTCCTGGACACTAGGTTTTCTTCAGCAGCAGCTGTGCTTCTCTCACGAGGGGGCGGCCGCAGCACCGGGACTGAGATGCTTGGGACAGATGGACCGGCCCAACACTACCTCCCCTTGGCAGTCGCTGATTAAACCTGTATGTGCTGCAGAGATGTAGCTCTGCTCTCATCCACTTCCACTCTTTTTAACAGATGCAAATGTTTAAACACAGAGACAGACGTGATACTTTTAGGGTTTAATTGAGAAACTCTTCATAAAGTTTTGCCAAACTATTGGGTGTTTTAGTTCTACTTCCCCAAGATCTGTTTTCCCCTCATATTGAATAAATATGACTTTGTTTCTAAAGAAGTTGCAAACCTCTCGCAGCTGCTGCAAGGTGCAGTCTGGAGCCAGTGCCAGTGGCATATGGCTTTGCCCTGCTCTAAACATCCATACTGCAGACAGGCCCATCAGTCACCACTGTGTGCGGACAGGGCCAGAGAGGAGCTCTCTGATGAATAGTGCTCAGGACTGACCTGCTGTTAAAACATTACCTCCTAAACACAGCTCCCCAAAGTACACCTGAGCAGAAAGTGCAGGAGTGGAAATGTGTGTTCTGATTTTGCATGCATCATGTGTGCCAGCTTTGAGCAAATATGAAATATGCTTTTACAGCCCTCACGCAGAAGCCCAGGTCAGGTCTGTGTAGACCAATTAAAGGCAAGCATCTGCTCTACGGAGGGAGCACTCCACAACCTCAGTTCATTTGATCAGTTTAATAAGTGAAGCTGGTGCTGCTGCCTGCTGCACTGGTCCTCAGTGTCTCTCGGCCTATAGCCCTCTCTCTCGAAGCTTCTATGAGACCAGTGGTCTCCTCCATTAGAGAACATTAATCCATTCTTCAGGGATTCTTTCTCTGGTTTTCTGGTAAAACCACAGCGCCTTTGTTCCTCCGCATGCTTGTGTTTTTTATCTGCCAAATTTAACAGAAGGCTCAGAGGGTAACAGGGGTCCAGCCCATATCACCTTCTGGAGCAGAGCTGCACAGAAAGACAATCAGGCTGAACCCCGCTGTCTGTACAAAGTGAAAAGACTCTAATTGGGCTTTTTTACGCTGCATTTTCCACCACAATTGCTGGATCATGAAAAAGCAATTAAACTCTGAGCCACAATTCATTCATTTTCATGTTTGTCCTTTAATTGAAGAGACACATTTGAAATCCATTTTCATATGTATGCTTTCGTGTTTTTTGTGTCAGATGTGCAGCAGAACAGATGCCACTTTCAACCACAAAATCCAAATAAAACATGTTTTTACCACAGTAAAGACACTGGGGTTGTTCTACTGTGGTGTTACCACTAGAGGCAGTGTTGCCCATATAATCCAATGGCCGGAGCGGGACAAGCTCAGACGTCTCCAGAGATCCATTTGTGCCATGATTGTTATTCACGTATTTTAAAACATTACACTGTGTTCCACGTTCACAGAAGTTGTCAAACCACTCGAATATTTAATAAAAGTACCTTTCTGACTCACACAATGACATGTGTGTATTTCATTTCTTTGCAGAATCAGATTATTAATGGGACATGCCGCTTATTCAAAAGTAAATGCATTTGCATTTCCTTTTATAATTAAAAGTGGATTCTTTATAAAGATATTATTATAATTGAACATAATTACTGTGCTACAATAATCTCACAGCTTGTAACACTCTTGACACGTTTGTCATTTATTTTACTGCACAATACACAGTGCAGTCAAATGTAGATGTAGCTGACTAATGAGGAAACGGGAAAGAAAGCTATTTCAATTAGACAATTCAATGAAGAAAAGGTGTAACTGCTCATTTACAAGTTCCATTCTCCATCATCGCTGACATTCGACGCGCACATATTTAGTCTTTGTTAAGCGTGCGCGTATGTGTCACATGTTCCGGTCCACAGACTCCATACATGATCAATTAGCTTTGTTCATGTCACAGATTGTGAGTGATCCACGCTCCGCACGGACGGACGTGTCCACATCAAACCTTCATTTGCATTGGGTCCCGAAAACAGGAGGAGAGAGTGCACCTGACTGTCTGACTTGTTGTTACGCCCGTGACCCGTCCGAGTCTCTATAAAACTCACTTTAGCTGCGGGGGTCCCGTCCTGCAACACTGGCGCAATGCGGCTGTCAGAGGTGCGTCAATCACTGCGCAAATCCACAAGTGCGCACATTGAAGGGATCCGCTGCACTGACGAACGCTCAAGCATGACATTTTAGTGACTTTACAGTGTTGAAAAGGCGAATCGTGCATTGAGAATAGCTAACGTTTTGATTTGATTTATTTTACCTGCATTTAGTCACATGGCCTTTTTCACACACTCCAGATTATTGAGTGTTCCAAATGGTCCACTCGGTACTTAGGGCTCTAATATTTACAGTCTTTGGGCTTCGTGGGTGTTTGAAATGTGTAAACACATTTGGGATGGTTAAGCTTGATGATGGTTCGTGAATTGTGTTGCCATTAAATGAGGCAAATGTATGTTTTGAAGTAAAGAAAGTTTGCCAATACCTTCCACAAACATAGCGGGGAGGAGAGGGGAGCGAGCGAGGTTTCTGTTTTTTCATGGAAAGATAACGGATTGAACTCACTGCGTTTTTGACATGTGTTTTTGTAATCAAATCTATACAATTAACAGGGACTACCCCCAGGTCAGGAGGCAGAGGAGGGAAGGACACAGGAGAAGGACACAGGACGTAGGACACAGGAGAAGGACCTAGGAAACATCACGGATTAATGAGGCGCGCGCACTCGGACCTCCGCTCTGGACTCTGTGGACTCCGGGACCTGGACCTGGACCTATACCGTGCTGCAGCTTTGGACCAGATCAGTTTCTTCAGTTCAAAGACGCCGACAGTCGGAGCGGACCCTGTAGCTGTGAGCATGAAGTGAACTGCAGCAGCTGCGCCAACAATATTTTCAATCCAAACAAAGCGCTGGGTGCTTCAGGGAATGGGTTACAATCAGCAAAGAGAAACTGGAGATTAGGCCGGTCTCTGACTAAACACGAGAAAACCATTTATGACCAAGCACGATGTCTCACTAGGGATTTATTATAATATAGGGATTTTCGAATAATATAAACTCATATGTTCCGAAGCGTTTGGATGAAACTACAAGGAAAGTGTATTTTTTTTAACATAAAATACACATTTGAGGTGAAACAGAAAAAAACTTGGAGGGATAGAGTTTCAGACTACTAAAATAAAAAACAGGAATAAATAAAATAGAACGATGTCAGATAAAAACAATGTAAGGAAACGTTTGTGTGAACCCAGATCGCTGTATAGAAAGTGTCCTGGATTTAGGGGTTCATATAATACTATTGGCTCCTAAAAAGTCATATTTGTACTCTCAACTCCATAATTCAGGGTACATTTATTTTATATTTGTGTAAACGGTAGTCGTTCACTTATTGTTAATTATCAAAGTTTAAGAAAATATGACCGAAGTGGAAAGTATAATAATTTAAGTTTACCTCAGCAATACATATTTTTTACAGTGTCTACAAACCAATTTCAAGACTTTTGTTATAGAATTTAAATGTATCTTGAACTATATGTATTCTAGGCCAATAGTAAATCACATTTCCCTGTATAGATTTTATTCTGCAGATATATTTATAGACATTTTTATACAAACCTATCTCTCAATATATTTCCACCAAAACAAACCAGTGTGAATGGACACTTGGGTGTTGTTGGACCTGCTCTCTCGCCTCTCTCCCCTCAGAGTGGACTGTCCCGCTGCTGCTGACGTGAGGTTGATCTGAGCTGGTTCTTAGCGTGTGACCCGTGTCCTGGGCCCCTCCGCCTGATGGACACAGCTGTACGGCCCCGGGCGACATGCACCAAACTGAGACCAAGAACCAGGGCAGCCGGGAGGAGAGCCAGCCAGGACGATGTCAGTGTGTGACAGTAGTGAGTATAGATCTAGGACTATAAGAGGGAGTTTATTTCAGACATTATCCATTACATTTTAGTGAGAGGAGAGCCAGCCAGAGCACGTGTAGATCTGTGATAAGTGGGTTTGTATGAGTAAATTATATATAAAAAAAAAAATCTAAAATCTTAAATATAAGATAAGATAGACCTTTTTTCGTCCCACAGTGGGGAATTTTTCAACGTTGCGCACATTGCTGCAGAATAAAAGGAGGAAATAAGTGCACTCAGCTTGCACACAACAAACAGGATCTATTGTTTAAGATAATAGATAATAACATTAAATTAATGACTACAATAAAAAGATATTAAAAATAAAATAAAGTAAACCATTATATGTCAATTGCCAATGGACAAGGCATGACATATAACATACATTACCCATTACCCACCTCTTTTGGGTCAAATATTTGGCTGAAAATACTTTGCAGGAACATAAATGACAAAAATATAAAGAAATCAAACATCAAAAAGGTGAACCATGTTTGTTACTGCCTCTTTGGATGAGTATTTTGACTTGACAATGGTGCAATCTAGTTAATATTTATAACAGTAGATTTTAAACATTTGTATGATATGTTTTTATGTTTTCACGGCATATCATATGTTCAGGCAGGTTGAAGATCTCTGCTCTTGTCATAATAATAGAGCATTCCAGATATACAAGGTTTTTTAGACTCTCAAACTTGCTTCACATTGCAATATTCCTTCACTACATACTGTGGCAATGCACTTTTTTCATTATAGCCACAGCTGCCCTGGAGTAGAGTGACGGAAGCACAATATATTCATAAGATAAGGTAAGATAAACTTTATTGATCTTACAATAGAGAAATGTATATGTACCTTTGGCATTGATAGAACCACTCGGGGGGTGTGCAAAAAGACAAGAAGTGTGCAAACATGTTAAAAGGTTAAAATATAGTCACGTTTGTGCGATTACGTACAAATAACATTAAAGGTGACTATAGCAGTGCCAAAGTGGTGTATATTTGTCTCTCAGGACTAAAATGCTAAAATTGCATGCACTTTTAAACATTACACCTGCAGTTTAGCAAATGGATAGACCAAATGTGTAAAAATAGGGAAATAATAAACTTCACTGCGAAAGGTGAAATTCTTCTGAACTTCTTTCATGAAACACAACTTTCTGTTTAAACTATTTTCTATCGCTCTGGCTCTAGGCCTTTTAGCACCACGTGGTCGATGTAAATGAGTTCATAATCTTGAGTTCCACCACTAAGCCCTTGGTGCTTTTGTGCTGCGGCTGCATAGGGATTCCTGGGGCCCTGAAGCCAAATGGGACGGTCGGACGAGGAGGAGGCCCCCAGTGCACGGCGCATGTTCAGAGTACAGCAAACGGTACCTCTCCAACACCACGCACCATCCACAAACATACACACTGGAATACATCTGCAGAGACCAGCGGGCCAAGCCAATTAACACCCTGCCACACAGCCAATCAGACGCACCGAACGGAGGGGCATATGTGCATCATCATACATGCAAATGAGACCTACGAGACATGTGTGAATTTTGCCGTGCATTTGGATTAGCAACTCCCAAGTACAGCCTGAGGTGGTCTTGGAGAATACATAATAACGCATGGCCATAATAGTACGAAGGCAAAAATGTGGCTGATAAGTGTAGTAGATTATTATTATTTTTTGAACAGTATTAAAACTACACAAAAGGAGTAAGCTGAAGTAAATCGCCACCCGCAAAAGTCGATTTCAACAAAACTTTACATATTATGGAAATAGTACAGAGCAACAAGGACCCAGAAGCACACAAAACTACATCACGCACATTCTGGATTATGGAATTATCAACAATTTGAACAGAATAACTTATTGATTATACAATTGGCTATGACTTAATGAGAAGTCAATTGAGATTAATCTATTGAATTTAAGAATTTATATTAAAAACAGTCATTGGGTAGTGTTGGTGAATTTACATGTCCTGCATTGTATACTTGCTCGTACTCAGTCAAATCTGAAATGTTTTTACTGGGTATTTTTCAACATTTTTGAACGTGTGTGTTTTAAGTCACCCAATCACACACCCTTAAGTTGATTTTCAATTTCATTCACACTTCATTAGTAACAATTATTTAACTTTTTTGTTGTCATTTGGCCTTAAAGCTGCACTGATCCCTGAAGTTTACTGTGGGACCAGAAGATGGCAACATACCTCTGACTGAGACTGCCTCCTCCAATTTCTGCTTTTTTTATACATTCATGTTCACCCTCCTACATACAGCATTTTCCCCCTTTTTCACTTCTATACAACCATTATGAATAAGGAATCTGATAAATATTGTGAATAATTCAATAGATCCTTTGCTTTAACGGTCTGTGCTCTCTGACTATGTAAAGCCAGTCGTGTCCAGTTCATATGGGTGAGGATTCTTGGTTACGAATATGAATTGCATGTGAAATTGAGTTTTTTCTTTTCCCTGTTTTGACTTCCTGCCAGTCTTTTTACTTAATTTTGATCCTCATGACTTCTGTTACATAATGAAATGAACAGGGGGCACTGCAGGGGAGCCAGCATCCTCCCGAAAGCTTCAGGCTGGAGGCTCCACTATCTCACAGAGGGCATATTTTAACATGCAACAGAGTGAATGGCAAATACAGCTGACTCTCCCAGGTCCTGGAGAAGGCCTCAAAACGACTTTTTACCCATTTCTCACAGCCACAGACTGTCACTTGAAAAAGACTGGAGTGAGATGCCATGTAAACAATTTAATATTTGATGTACAGTAGTGGTTGTTGTGTAAGTGTGCGTGGCATGCGCGTAGGCACGTGGCACAGTTTGTATCAGGAAACTGGAGCACGGTGCAGTGGTGATGATGAAAACAAGAGGGGAAAATCAAACTTCCGTCATGAATCAAGGCAGGGTAGATCCTAATAATGTATACCATACTCTGAATTAAAGTAAAATGACCTTACCTTATCATGCCATTGAAATTAAGGGGCAAAACAGAAACTAAGGCTCCATTAGAAAAAAAAATGGTTTTGATTGAATACAATTGAAGTTTAAATATTTTACTACTCCTTAACAGGTCACCACATAAATCATTAATAATTTACACTATATCAATATGTCATATAGCCATTATTTATTCAATTAAGAAAACACATATTTCTAATGGCCTATAAGTAAACTGTTATCTCAATAATTGAACATTGAATTTCCAGTACATGCAATGGAAGAAAGACAGCCAACAGCCAGAGATTACGAGATCTTTCGCAATCTCAAGTACATGAATAAAAGTGGCACATGCCGGTAGTAGGGTGAGAGGAGTCCACAGAGCTCTGGTGCAGGCGGAGGTAGCAGCCAGTTGGCCGTGTGCGAGTGAGAGCGCTGGGAGCAGAACAATTACGGCAGTCACTTACCATCAGTGTGTCAGAGCGGGCTGAGCAGGCACAGACGCACTGGGCGCCGCGGGGCTCAGTGACGCTCTCATCCAGCTGCTATCACAAGATCAAGCTGGTCATCCCCAACATGACAACACGGAGCGCCCAGCCAAATTCAGCCATTAACACACTGTAAATGTAGTAGGAATGAGCTTTTTGGGAAGTTTTCTCCAAATTAATGTTGGCTGTGGACTGGCACGAAGGGTATGTAGCTTGAGATTGCTGTATCGACCGCTCTGTAAAAATCTCACATGAATTGCAAGGTTGTTGGTTCGATACCCATGTATAGGACTCTGAGTGATCATGCAGCCGGAGCTGAAAGTCAGACAGAATCTAAATTGCAATTTTTGTGGTCGCAAAAAAAGCAAATAGAGTTCTTTATAGACAACAAAGGGACAAAGTTAAGCAAAAAAATAAATAAAAATAACATGTATTTGGGAATGATGCTTTTGTATTAGGTAAAGTTTTTAAAAATTGTCAATGGATCAAGACACATGAAAACATAGAAGGATTTTAATTAACTTACATTTTTGCAGTAAATCTTATTTTAAAATTGCTGCTATAAGTGAAATCTCTATGAACGTTTTCCGTATTGTGTGAGAATTCTTTCGAAGTTGGTCAGAAATATGGCAAAAATATGTGCCCCTCTATTATTAGCAAGACTGTTAAAATATTGTCTGATTTACCTTCTTTAAAGTGCCAAGCTCGCAAACACTGGTGATATTTGTCAGATTTCCAAATACGATGCTGCATCTGACCGCTAATGAAATATTTTACATCCAGACGGAGATTGTGACTGGATACAGAGAAATACGGGGGCTAAAACATTTGATCTTGTATTTTCACATGTCACACTCTCAATGAGCACAGGCAGTGACCGCATCTGCCCCTCGTGCACGGGTTCACTGGCGGCTACCCTTAAGTCTCTGTGTACTGTCAGTGTCGTGGTTGGATCCATCATGCGTTTGGCAATCTGGGTGCCACTCAAGTGCGTCCCATGGGTGTTCGGGTGGTGGTGGGGGGTGGAGTTCTGGTGATGTGCAGAGAGTCACTGGGCTGAAGCCTCTCCCCAGCCTCGACAGCAGCTGTGTGGGAGACAGGCAGAGGCGCGGCGGCACAGATGTGGAAGTCTGGAGCCAACAGAAGGTTCGGCTGATTTCGGTGGCGGCCATGTTTGTTATTTCGCCTTTTCCTGGGAGGAAGAAGCAGGGCCCTTGATCTGACTCGTAGTTAAACACTTAGCCTTTGTTCCCAACATAAATGACTGGGACTAGAACAGAGCCCAAGGAAATACAGTGGGAAAGAAAACTAGATCATATATCTTACTCATACCGTATTTGCCCCAGCCACAAGTTTACAGTGGTTCATTTGTTACTTTAGAGTTTAGAATAACAGAGACATTTCATTTAATGTGTTAAATGAAAGGGAGGAAATTCATAACATTTCCTGAGGTGTTCTGTGGCATATTTGTGAAACGATGTATAGAAATCAGCTAGGGTAAAAGTAAAAGTTTTTAAATGACTCCATTACTTAAGAACTTATGTTCAAAAGTAAAATACATACAAAAAAATACAATATATGCATTTCATTTGAAACACTTACAATACTGGCAGGAACTATAGCAAACAAAACATGTAGGATTCAGACCGAAAGTTTGAACTTAGAATGTTGGAAGTTAACCGTTGTCATCGGTCAACTTCATTGAGTTACTTTGAAATTTTAAAATGTAAGGAGTAGAAAGTACAGATATTGAAGTTTAAGTAAAAGTAAAAAGTTGTCCTAAAAGTTTGTTATGTAGCCACATCTGGCCATATAACAAACCTTTTCATCTCATGCACCACTGTGGCTTTAGCCGCTTTGTTACCACAAAAACCAATGATGGAAATATAGAAAGCTGCAGGGAAACAAAAAACATACAATTTGCGATTGTATCTGCGTTATATTACAGTAATGTATTGGAATACAGCTTCATCCCACGGTGTGGGCCGAGTGCAGTGGGCAGATCCTCAGTGGACTCATGATGAATAGCACTGTCTAAAGCTAATGCTCATGAGCAGATTTTCACAGGGATTTTTGCACAACTTCATTTGGTCGTAACACTACCCACCTTGTCAATATGAACACCTTCTCCCAAACAGCACAAGTGAGAAATGGGATATTCTTCCCACTGAGTTCCCAGATTCATGATCACTATTGCATCAGCAGAGCCCCAAAACTGAGGCGCTGGTGTGAAACTGTTGGAAGAGCGAGATGGTTATTTGTTCTGGAGTTACTCTGTGGGCAACTGCACATCTGAAACCTGACATTGTCCTCTCACATTACATTGGAAGTCCCCACAAATATTTGACTTTCCATGATACTCCGATAGGTGCGATTTTGAAGGACCATTTGGGATTTGTGCAGTTACAAAATGTACACATTAAAGATACAAGCTATGTAGGATAACACACCACTTTTTTTGTCCAGAAAAGTGACTAAGAGTATGCAGACCTGAGTAAACACTTACACAGTTAAAGCTGGGGTACCTCACTTTTTTCCCCACATAAATAACTGCATGTAGTTTGTCCCAACATAATCTTATTGAACTAAAGTGAATAAACCAGACCAAAACATGCAGTTTGCAACATACATTGTATTAGAAAACATGTTATTTTGCCTGCTTGAAGAAAGAGCCCTGTGAGTCACTATCAGACGTTATGAGCTGGAAGCTATAATTGAGTGAGAGTGGGAGAGTGGTCGTCTCTTTTAAACATTTCTGTCTGAGGAGCTGATCTACCGCTGTAACAAATACATAGTTAGAAACCCCGGCTTAATGCGGTGATGTTTATTTAAATCCATGCAGGTTTAGTGGTCAATAAAGTTGCATTTACTCATGTATAAATGCGTTTTTCAGGCTTGGGACGTCACATCATCTCATTCCCTGGAAACAGAGCGTAAAAACCATTACATCATTCTCAGTGGAGAGGGATATATTTTTAGGCCATACTCTTGAAGTTTAGAGGCAAGCAATGACATTTCCATGGAAACAAGCAGGTGCCTTCCTCAAGGCCAAGTGCGTCTTGTATGTGAGTCAGTAAAGACCCATGATTGCCGTGCGTTTAATAGTGCAACAAAAACTACAAAGATTGTCATATTTTAGTTTAGGCTTTGAATAATGGGTACAGGGCTGTGGGCGGAGATAGGGGGAGGTGAAACTAGTCCTCGTGGCTCTAATGTAGGAATACCATCATAAAAATAAATGTAAACTTTGAATAACCTTATGATCTCAAGAAAAACCAGTGTATATTGGTGCTTAAAGCTGGGGTATGTAACTGGTTTGTTTCTCTAAATAATACATTGTGTTTGCCTCCACAGAAAGAGACCAGACCTCGCCATGATGTGCTTATCTAACTAGAAAAAAATGTTTTATTTTGTTTAGTAATATTTCAAGCCCTGTGTGTCACATTCTGATGCATTGGGCTGAGAGCTGATTGGCTGAGTGCAGGGTGGTTCTCTCTTTTCACTTTTCTGTCTGAAAAAGTTGAGCTTAAGGTATATGTGAAAACTGTTTATAAAACCAAACTGTATTGAGAGTGAGTTAGATTATCTGTATCACATTGCTAAATTGCGTGATTTTTGCCCCATCATTAACATTGTCAATCATACTGCCACAATAGTCCTAATTAATGTATGGCCCTTACTCAGTGAATATGCCACAGTGAATATAAAAGTGTATGGGCTATACTATACAAACATGCCAAATAAATGTTTTGTTAAAAAAAAGAGAGTTGACTTGAATACTAAGCAGTAAGAATCCAACATTTCTGCTCTCCCACACCGACGCGTGCACGAGGCCAACACCTGATCTGACACGTTGTCTTCTCACTTGTTCCTCTGAAAAAGTCCTCATAAATATTTGAGTTTCCATGATGCGCCTAATGCCTCCGCTGTGCTCGCGGTGTCTGTGTGCGTGTGCCTGTGTGTGCAGAGCAGCGGAGACACGTACATCTGCAGCAGTTTGGAGAAACAGCCTGTTACCATGCACACTTGACAACTCCATCAGGCCAGTCTCAAGGTAGCTGCCAATCACCACAATCACCCCCCCCCCCCCCCCCCCCACCTCTTTTCCACAGATGACAGGTCCCACACAGCTCTATTTACCACATACACCCACCCGCACGCGCCAATCACTTTGTAATTACCAAACACTAGAAGAAGCAAACAGAGCAGGCTAGTGGTAGGTGTGGTGAATGGATGTTAAGCTAACACGCTCAATGGTCCCTTTCACAGAGGTAGCTGGCGTCTCGAGAGCGGCTTTGGCAGCGGAGGAGTGCATTGAAAAGCAGAGGCTCTAAAGAGGCCGCAGTGTGTTCGGGGTTGTGAAGAGGGCAGGGTGTGACAAACAGGACTCATTGGCAGCTCGGGCTCTCACTTGTTTATATGTAAATAGATTAGTGCGGGGATGGGAAGGGACTGGGGCAGGACAATGTTTACTGATGAGTTATAGGTGAGAAGGATGAGATGAGGAAAGGTACAAATGGATTTATTATTATTATTTTGTTCTGATTAATTGATGTTATACTGCAGGGATGCCTAAAGTATTGGGGATTTATGGGTATTGGTTAACTTCCTATGGACCTATGGCGCCTAGGGTTAGGGTTAGGGTTAGGGCAGGGGTGTCCAATGGCTCCAAAAAGGGCCGTTGTGGCTGCAGGTTTTACTTCCAACCGAGCAGGAGCAGACCAGACTCCGCCCATTTCCTCAGGTGAGTCCAGTCTGAGGTGTGCTCCTGCAGCCACACTGGATAAGGTTTTTCACTTAGCAAATCTTATGATGGCAAATCGGCAATTCCTTGACACCTTTCGAGATGACTGCTGTTGTCTTTTTTTTTGCCTGTACAAAAAAATATTGAATTGAGCACAAAAATTAAGTTGTGTTTCCATAAATAGGAGACCATAGTTGTGGATTTCGGAGAGGAAGTGGGGTAGAGATTGACTTTTTTGTTTTTTTCAGGTTGGATTCTAATACTTATAATGAGTATTCAAGAATTCGACTTTTAGTGTGATAGAAAACACTACAATTATAAAATAAAGTGTGAACATATTTCTTCCATCTCCAGGAGTGTGTGAATAAGCGACACAATTAGTCAACAAAGTGGTGGCGAGACGTGTTTTGTGAAGGCTTTTTTCTGACGGTGAGAGATGTTAATTGTGTGCCATTACCTCTAAACTGTTTGCCTGTTGTATTAATCACTGTGCTAATTGATGCAGAAATAAAATTGTTGCCACGGGCAAAGAGGAGAGTCAGGGACAGAGGATAAAAGATTATCGCACTGAACATATGGAGATGGTGCTGCTTTGAAAGTGAGCTCGATGTGCCCACCAGTGCCACATGGACGCCAGGCAGAGCCAAGAGAAGCAAGGTCTATGTGCAGTGAACCTGGGCTAAAATATATATATACATACATTGTTTAAATCATCTTTCAATCAGAAACACACCTCCATCTAATATTTGGCTGTGTGTAGATGTGTTTTTCATTCAATATACAGACTTATTGTGCTCAGGAGCTACGTGCATTGCTGGCACAGCGTGTCCTGCGATTTCTTTTGGCTGTCCACTTTGCTGCTTAGTGGAAATAAAAAGGTCCACCTGCTATGAGCCACATGGCAAAATGTAAAATTAGTCGCTGTTGTTTACAAGATTGGTGACATACAATGTGTCTGCATGAGGCCTTTTTACACAGGCATTGAAATTATAGCCGGAAGTGTTCATAATCAAATATGATTGTACTTCAAAAATATCCAATGTTTTTTTATATAATCTGCAGATAAGAGGCTGCTTTAAGAAAGCCAGGACTCAAATATTATGAAACATAATTTTGTTTTAGACATTATGGACATTATGGACATTATGGACATTAATCAACATTATGGACATATTTTGACATTGGTCTAAGGACCTTTTCTAGAGATCTAGATTCTAGATTCAACTTAAAATGATCAAATACCATTTATTTGGAAAATGAGTGGAAAATGAAACTACAACGTAGAAAACATGTGGAAAAATATACTTCCTACACTAACGCTACTTTGCGTACAAACAATATCTATTGAGATTAATTGTTTGTAGAATTTTTTTTGAAAAAAATTAAATATCTATTGAGATTAATTTAAAAAAATTCCGCCAATAAAGCTATGAAATATGTTTTCATATATTCTCATGAATCTACTTTAAATGTTGAATTAACCTCATCCAAATTGGATTTATCCTTAAAAAACACACATGAAGTCTGCACTGAACACAAATACATTTTAAGTCATGCCTTTGAAGTCATGATGAACACAATAAAGCTTTTGCTTATTACTAAGCAATCATCCTTCAATTAGAATTACATTTACCTTAGACCTAATATTCACATTCATAATTGTGGCTCCATTCGTTACTTTTATTTTTTTTGCCTTATACACTTTCACATTAATTAAATACGTCATAAATTGCTTGGTCTTAAAACAGGATTTGCCAATGAGACAAGCAGAACGTACTGTACTTGAAATATAGACATTATATATTTGTTTGCTTATCCCACAATCTTCTTAATTCCAGAATTTACAGTCTTATATATTTGCAGTGCAGTGACAGTCTATAGTAGTGGCTGATATTGTTGTGCAGTGACATGTTTTGCATGCAGCTTCTCTTTGTTACAATTCATGTATTCAGAAAGACAAAAATAGAGCAGATCTTTGTTGTGGCAAACATTCTGAATGCATGAGATCGTCTGTGTTTGAGTTTGGAATGCCACATCAAACATGCCTTACCTATACTCTCTGGAAAACTACTGATGCCACTTACAGCATCCAATTGGCTAAATGTGTTCTGAGAAATCACTCCTCCTATTATTAAGAACTCCCACCAACATCTCGCCATTTGATCCAGCTACAAAACGTGAAAAAATCTATCATTTTAAAGGGGCATTAGATCGCTCCATTCACCCCCAATGTTCATCTGTGTTTACCAAAATAGACATCTGTAGCAGCGATGGCAAAATTGCTCGGCCCAAAACGAAGAAACGATAAATCTTCAGCTATGAAAACATCTCAATCTTCCATGGCATCCTCTGTGTTTTTCTTCCCCTCTGCAGATCGGCACAGGTGGTAGAGCTTCCCGGTAGTGGTTTTCTCTCTTGCCTTTTTGTCTGACTCCAATTTCGCTGATGGTGGCTTGTAGATGATTATGATGACTCTCTGGCTCTGCGCATTGATCCGCAGTGGCACCTAGTTGTGAGTTCACAGTCGACACCACACTTCCTTTGGCTTTAATTAGAACAGTCCTGAATGTTCTCCCCTGGTCCTGGATGGCATCACAAAAAGCCGCTCGCTGAGGTAACTGTCACCTGCTGGAGTCGGTGTGGAACCTATTGGGTCCAATTCAAGAGGTCCCCAGAGCAGCAATTATATATAATCAGATCACATTTCTTTTCATATATTAATAATAATTAATACCTAAATGTGCTGAAGAAAAACATAATATATCAATAATTATTCATTTTCAGAATAATTTATCTTATTTTAAACCTGCACTGCATTTTTTTTATACATATATATCAGTATAACGTACAAATACAGTAACAAGAACATCATTTGAAAAGGGGTTGGATGAAGCAATTAGTTTGATTCGAGCCTCCATAACTAAACACTGCTATAACAATATGCAAAAACAAACACTCAGAAAACATACTGGCCCAACAAAATGTTTTTACTAGTGCACAATTATAAATATGCAACCATCAAATTCCTTTTATGATTAATTTTGCATTTAACTCTTCTTCCTTCATCCAGGACACCTCTCTTTTTGAGGCAACACCTGCATGTGAAATCCTCATCTTGGCAGACTTCAGAAGCTAAGCAGGACAATGCCTGGTTAGTGCTGTAATGGGAGGCTTCTGGGAACACCAACTGCCACAGTGGGTCGCCTACTTCTGTAAGGTGCTTGTAAAGGAGTATGAGTGCTTAGTATGACAGTATGGCAGATACTGGTAGCCCCGCTTCTGTAACTGAAGTGGTAGTTTGGCCACAGGTGAATGAATAAAGTCGTATACTCCTTTTCACACCTCACCCTCCATGGTTTGTTATCCCTATCTAAGATCAGGTCCTCTATCAGGAGCCAGACCAGGGGCTCTGGGGTAGACCAACAGAAGCAAGGTTTGCAGATGTTCATCATCAGTCCTTCTGGCCACATACACTCACAGACCACATACGAGACACTACCAGTTATTAGGTCAATAAATTATTAGATCAATAAAAGACCCCATGCATACATGTCTTCTCCGATCAGTGTTTTTTTTGGGCCTTCAAAAGAAATGCAGTGACAAGACTCGCCTGATATCTCCCATAATGCTCCTGGCCTGTCTCTAATACTGTGGGTCTCACTGGCCCATCTGCCCGGCCACAGACAGGCCAGGGTGGACACAGTAGATCCCTGCATTGCACTGGTCCATTATTTCAGGCGTCATGGCTCCTTGCACTTGTTTCACAGCTGCACCCGCGGGTGTCCTCCCTGGACCATTAGCAGCCGGTGTCACAGCAGCTGTGGGACTGCAGGTCTATGTGAGGGCCACAAGGAGAAGGATGATTACCTCTGCGCTCTCTGTAGCATATGCTTATAAAACCAAAATAAAGTAAAATGACTTAAGTTCTGTATTTACTTATGACTGTTTGTATTTCCGTTATGCTTTAGTATTTGGTACCTATGGCTTTCAGCAGCACTCTGGCAAACCTCTGTCAGTTAGAACACTTTAGTACCAGCTCAGCCTGGATAGAACCAGGGCCAAGAAGGTAGAACAAATTAACCTGGTACAGTTTAAACAGGGCCAGTGGAAATGTTCCATTTGTTGATATTTTTGGGATACCCAAAATTAACTTTTCTTAGACAGGTTTTATAATTGGTTTCTGAGATTGGTGTTGGTTGCTTGTGATTAGAGTTGTCAACTCAAAGAAAGTAGGTCCTGGGATGGACCCCTCGGCGGCATGGGGCCTGAGTGGAGTTTGCGATATAAACATAAAGATGAATTACTTGTTTCCCCAACCACTACGTTTTATTATTGTATTGTTGCATTGTATTGTTTATCCAATACAATGCTGTATTATAATAACCCCACTTTTGCCGCAATTGGTGTTGTCAGCAAACATCTCATTGATCAATGTCTGATCAATATATTTTTTAAGTACAACAGAAGGAAATGACTCGTTTCTATTTATAATGGATAAATAATGCATTATCAGTAAAAGTATTCTAACAACAAACAGTGTGAGTCTTTGTTTGAAGAGGTGGTCAGATAGTGGAGTGCTCATGCCTGGCTGGCTTCTCACAGACGAGCTGCTAATCAATGCGGTCTTACAGCGGGTGACCAGTGGGGGGCGTGACCTGCCAGGTGACCCGTGCACCACAGCACTGATGCCATGAGTCCTGAGAGTGTGTGGGATATGAGAGTCACACTCAGCCAGCAGCTCCCTTTACAAGTGCACAGAGACTGGAACATGTGCACAACAACAGTACAGTGTAGAAAATGAGCCATTACCTACGACCTGTCGTACGCTAATTCTATCTGGAGAGACTACGCACACACAACATTGCATTACATTTTCATTTGTTTAGTTGGCACCCTAGCTTGGTTGCAGCACTTTGTCTGAAGATCATTCCTTGTGTGTCACTTGTAATACCCCACGACCCAGGTACTGGTGGTAAAGGTGCACTTTGTTAATCCCCGTAGGGCAATTCAATCCTCTGCATTTGACCCATCCTGATGCCGCGAAGGCTTACGTCAGGAGCAGCGGTCGCCATAGAACAGCGCCAGATGTTGATGCTCGGCTTGGTCAGAACTAGCGGAGCTGGAGGATTTAACCTAGTGAGCATGTTTTCAGTGGTAGGGGAAACCGGGTAGAACATGCAAACTCCACTCAGAAAGACCCTGTTTCGACCAGGATTTGAACCCAGGACCTTCTTGCTGAGAGGCGAGAGTGCTATCCACTCAGCCACCGTGCCACTGTGGCAAAAGGTCTAGGTACTGGTGGTTTGCTTAAGGTCCAGGTACAGGTGGTGGTATAAGACCTTGGTCCTGGTTGTAGCGTGAGGTCTAGGTTCTGGTGGTGGAGTAAGTTGTGATGGGAGTGTGCACTTGAAGGTGGAGGTGATGAACTCCTTGCAAAGATTCGAAAAGTTGTTGGGAAGTTTCTGCGTTTAAACAGCTGCTTAATTGGCGTTGATTGGCATTAGGAAATTGACAAATGATATAAGGTAGCCGGGATTGTGTGTCAGAGGACGTGTTCATTGGTGTAACCAGAAACACATGGTTTTATACATGTCATGTGACTGTATGCCAAGCTGACTACAGTGCAGTTTAATATAGTGGCATAGTGGAAAGAAAATGCCCCTTTCCCTTTTTTTTAAACATTGACGTCAAAATGATACATATAAACTGGTATTTCTATATATCTGTGAGTACAAACCTAACTAGCTGTTTCTACTACCCAAATTGTTGGTGGAAAAAGGCGCACATTTTATTTTGATTGTGTATTTCCAATATTTTAAACTTAGAGTACAATTAGCACCAGACGTAAAGTGGTCGTTTCCGCCCCTCCACCTTAAACATATTTTAATTTCATTTACTTCCATGTTGTGAAGCATGGTGTTGAACATAAGATTCATCACTGGAAGTCTCCCCCCCTGACGTTCAGGCTAAGACAATGTGTGACCTGCAACTCTGGCTTGACCATAGCACTAATATTTCAAACATTTTCTTGACCACTGGAGTGTGTGGAAGTGGAGTCCATAAAGCCAATCAGGGCCGTCTGCGGAGGCCTCATAAATCTCTGCTCTTGTTGGGTTTCTGGGAGGTCCGGGAAGTGAAGATTTCCCTCTTATTCTCGTCAGGCAGACCCAGACGCCCTCCCGGTGAACTCGGGTCACACGAGGCTGTGACCTTGGCCTGAACACTATTGTTGTGTCAGTCGCTGTGACAACCAAGAGGTCCTGCTGCGTTAGAGCCATTCACATTGGAGCAAAAAGAAGGACAGATTGGTGCAATTATTATGAGGATAAGAGCAATAATGGCACTGATAAAGCCGCAACAACATCGACATAATTGTAGCATTTGAACTACATCCAAGTACTTATCAACATTTTAATTATACACAAAATATGGCCTACAATAGTAATATTATCACAATCTTTGCTTCCGTTGTGCAGATGCTGATAGTGTGGGGCCTATTTCACATTAGAGGCAGGTGCCATTGGGACATGGATAATCCCCCATCACCATACAACATTCACTAGAAGATCACAGCTTTTCTTCTACAACAGCTAATATTCAGGACACATCTTTAAAGACTGAAGTGAAGAAGTTACACAGCAGAAGTAGAGGTAAAGATTAAGTTATTGATAAAGCACAAAGAAGCTGTAAAGCTGCTTGCATCTCCTGTCTATGTTTCATTTCCTGGTTCCGAAAAAAGACTTTTAGTGTAGATGTGGAGTAAAATAAACAAAGGATATTGCAATCTTCACACATGCAGGTGGAATAACTGAATTAAACAGGACCACGGCCACTCAGATGACCACGCCTAAGTCTAGTTTATCATTTCAATGCTGCAAAAGATATGTTTTAATAATTTTATTCCATATGTTTATCATCCTCTTTTAGAACCATATTACCTAATAACGTATAGACTATGTTTATCAATGATGTCTAACTAAATCCTGTTTTAGATGTGGCCAAATTCGCTTAGAGCACTTCCCAAAATGTGTTTCTCATTTGAATGAATAAGTGCCCCAATGCTTTCTGGTTTCAGGTTTATATGTGGGTATATTCCTGCATCATTTGGGGATCTTAATCATAATATCATTTCGAGCCAGTAAATGTCTAGAGGCAGAGCCCGGCTACATATAAATAGCATTAGATCATTGAACAATACTTATCTACCACTGAAATAATAGTAGACAGAAACACCATTTGGAGAACAATGTGAGTTTACACTGTATTTTAACATTCTTGGGAGTTTGATATATCCCAAGTCAAACCAATGCAGAACACTTGAGTTAAATCATTCCTCTAACAGATCCAATAGTCTTCTGATTACTCCTGTTCCACTTCTGGTTGTGGTAACAGCCATATAGGCCATGCCAAATGTGCCCAGAAATAAGCCGGGCGTCCCCCACTGTCTCTGAGATTGCCCACCCGGGAGACTGGCACACGGCACAGCGAGCAGGAGGCCCTCTGGATTACAGTCATACACAGCAACGCACACTATCTCATAATGGAAAGCTGCTGTGCATGTTCACCTCTCTGCGCCGCATTGTCCTCACCGCACTCCACTCTGTCTGGCAGGCGACAGGCCGGTGGGCACGCGCTTGCATCTGTATTACTGCCACAATATGCACTTTAATAGAGACAAGCTACAATCAGGGTGGAATGAAGAAGCAACAAAATGTACTAAAGTAATGGCTTTTTTTTTTCGATAAACGTGCATAGCGGCCTGCACTGGTAAAAGTCAAAATAGATCAAATCGAGCACATTTTCATTAGAAATACATGGGGTACCTAAAAATAAAAATACATGTTGTTAGTCCCAATAGAAAGAGTCTTGTAAAACTAAAACGTTTGAACAAATTAGACAATGCACTGTGTCCACATATTTTTGAAAACTTGCAGAATAAAAAAGAGCCCTGTGTGTCATTACTGTATGTGCATGCTGCTGGGAGCTGATTGGCTGAGTGAAGGTGGTCACTAGTCTGTCCGAAAAAATCAAAGAAGTGACTAAGGCAAAAATACATGCATGTGCAAACTAATGATAGAACCTGTTTTGAGAGTGAGGAACTAGTGAGATCTTTCATGAAACCCCAGCTTCAACCTTTGCTTGTCTTTGCGTTTCTTACAAGACACTTTTGAAATATGTATAATATGTTGTAGATCATTCTTGACCTTGATGATCTAATTTAAAAATGAGATTAGAAATGTTTCACTTTGCCTGAATACATTCTGAACATGGTTTGTACTGTTTTGGAATATTTAGATCGATGGCATGAGATGTTAAATTTGTGGCGAGCTGAATTTTCTGACATAGAAGACATTGATTGTTCAGCGACATTCCAAAATGGCAGTTGTTCGTTCCTTATATTCAGGTCCAGCTCCTATCCAAGCCCAGTCAGAGTGGTTCTTTGTCTGTGAGTCTGTCTTAGTCCTTCAGCCTGAGCGTCCATTCAAGTGCTGTATCTGAAGTGGTGAAGTGGAGATAAGACTTTATAGCCTTGGTCTACCATCTTAGAAATAACCGTCTCATTTACCATTATGTATTATCTTTTGTTCTGACTTTTAGTTTACATGTGCGTATGTGTGTGTGTGTGTGTGTGTGTGTAAGAACAATTGTCATCCTAATCCAAATGTTTACATAGTTTGTCCCTTGCAACTGTATTCGCAGTTAGAGACAGTAGCATACAGAAGTTCTTCACAAGTGCACTCCTTCAGACAGGAACAGCTTGATTCATGTCAGGCAGCAGGCTGGAGGTCACGAGGAAACAATGGCATCAACACTTAACCTGGATCCTAACACGGTTAAGTCAACAGTGTGCAGAGCCGCCACACTCAGTGTAAGAGGACTCTCTCCCTCACCCCGTAATCACCAGAGGCTGTAATTAATGTGGAGGCTGACCCACAGTTCAGACCAGTGCAGAGACAGACCCGGCTAAAACTATTAAGAGCACAGAGGATGGGTGTTTGGTGAGGAGGGGGCTTGGTTAGGCACCCCGAGGTGCTTATGGTGGCTAACAAAGGTGCAGGTGGGCCAGGATTTAGACCACTGGGTTAACCACATACTGTACTAAATTACACTGCTCTGGTCAGTGTCCTGTGCTAAGAGGCTTGACTATAACCATACCATTATACACTCCATAATCACCTTTGCCTTGGCAACAATGGACCATGTGTGTAGTGAAGTGTGGTGGGCGGAGTGAGGTCACCTGTAGGATGTGTCCAAAGCTCGCACAGAGAAGGCTCAGGCTGCAAACAGACGGGAAGGATGTGCTAAAGTTGCAGCTCCTCAAAGGTGTGTTTATCCAGGAGCAATCTGAGGATCAACGGGATACAGTGACACAGGCTGACGACATACGCTCCTCACACAAAGCACACTTCACCCAGACTCACATCTGGATTTTGTTACAGCATGAGACTTCATTATTTTATTATGCATCAAATGCTAAAGATAACAGCCAAATGTTACTATTTTTCTTGTGTGAAAAAACAAAATACATTTATTATCCATCCATCAATATTCTTCTGCTTTATCCGTTGCCGAATCGTGGGAGCAGTAGTCACACTTTCTTATCCACACATAATTCCTCCAGTTCATCCGCTGGAATCCTGAGGTATTCATAATATTTAATCATTCGTATTAATACTAGTTAAAAAGACAGATACATGTCTACATGAAAGCTGCTTGTATAAACGGGAGTGCACTGGGATCTAAACGGAGGCCAATTCTACTCAGAGCCTGTTTCTGTTCGGTCTTTGATGAGCACATCATCAGTTTTGACTTGAAGGTAACTCCCTCTTATTGGTTTTATATAAAATAATTAGTTGAGTACTTGCTTGTGTCTCATGAGCTCTGAGGTGACACGTGACAATAAGACGTAAAGTATAACTAATTTGGAAATCCAAGTTATTACTTTGTGTAGTAACATCATGTTTTTATGGTAATTATTATTATTATTATTATTGTTTAAATAAAAAACAGCTGTTAATCGGTGTTGAGCCTCCATCATGCTTAAACTCTGAGTAGACATATGCACTTTATGGCTCTCAATTTGTATAAAAATGCTTTGTATAGAAAGGGTTTGAAATATGGTCACCTGGATACTGTTTATTAAAGACGTTTTGTTTCTCTGAAATGAGCTTAGACTCTAAAACCGCACGTTAGTCCTTCCCAGAGGGAGGAGTTCTGCTCAGGACTCAGGAGGCCTCTGTAGATGAACCAGAGGCTGTATCTCAGTCACCACCTTCTGTAAAACTAATATCACTTTATAAAGAGAAATGATAAACTGAGATACACTGAAACATCTTGATTTCACAAAATGACTATCTTTTGAATCCCTTTCTTCTTCTTAAACAGCCTATATCACGTCCCATGAACTCTCCTGGTCACTGCTCATCTTAAATGTGCATAATAACAGCCTTTACGATGACCGCTCTCCTTTTATGATACGTGAGTAGAATGCTCAGAATTCAATCATTGCTGGCAGATGCAGAGCCAGAGTGAACCATTAAAGTCCTGGCCCCAGCTACACAAACAAAACGTATCCACCTGAGACCACAGAGGGACAGGATGCAGGCTACTTATAGACACCCAAAACCCGCGCACAAGAATAGCAGGAAAACCAGCTCCGTATGAGGGCCTTTTGAAGTGCGCCCCCTCTTAACTATTCTGATACCCCAGCCCAGCATCTTTGAAGGAAGGTTATCCTCTGAGCCTGTGTGTCCTGTTATGAATGAATTGTTTCCTCTTTCACTTTGTCTTTATTTTGCTACAGAAACTGACACTGTTTTATTGTTCTCTATGGGCTAGAGTGCTGTCGCGGGACCGGACCACTCGCTGGCTCGGCTCAAGACGTGCCCAAGGCCACTTCGCTGGACGGCAAGTCGGTCAGAGGTGATGTAAGAGCCAGAATTCTTCAATATCTGTCGAAGGATGACCCCCTGGACTTTGCACGGTTTCCTCCATCCTCAAGGTTGTGACCTGACAATGGCGTGTTGCCTAAGAATGGTGTGTTTGGGGTAATTAATCAGCGAGTGGCCAGTGATGTCATTGTACAAACATGATGAGAATAGGGGGCGCGCTGACATATTTTGTTAGTTTTGCAGTAATGGTTTGAGCCGTGACAGTAAATGTAGCAGATTTATGGGTGCGCTCAGTCAGGGAGCTTGCACCTGCGCGTGAAAAAACAAAAATAGGTTATGGTGTGTCCAACTTTCAACACAACAAATTAGAACTACATATGTGCAAAATAATCAGATTTTTGCCTTTTAAAATCTTCATTAGATTCAAACCCAACCCAATGTTGTTTTTTATCAAGATCAGCATAAGCTTTAGCAGTAACCGTGGGTACATTTATAGATTCCTCCAAGTTTCTGTATGATGAATAGAAAGCGAAGGTTTCAGAATAAAAGGTTTCAGAGTAAAACATTTCAAGCCAACAGACCTCAAATGAGCGTGTTTTCTTCCCTAAAGCAGTTGAATGTTTTATTGCTGTAATGAGCACATGTTGACACTATATTCTTGCCATGGGGTACAAGCAAGTAAAGTAAAGTAAAGCAAGGCAGTGGATTTGATATCTATAGAGTTGTTTGCATGTTTGTGAATTTTGATCATTTTTCCACTTTCATGGGATCACATACACATCCTGTATAAGATCACTTACACATGTTTTGGCTGGAATGATCACATGAATGAATCAAAGCAGTTTTCTGCAAGAATATTCATAAATATTAAGATACGTGCGATGTGGTTTAGATCTTTCTCATACATTTGACTTTTGTGTGGGATAAATGTATCATCACAGACACATGAAAAAGGTACCAAAAGCGCATCGTGTTCTATCAAAGGATTGGTGGCTTTATGTTAAATTCAACAGAAAGGGTCAGCTCACATTAGAATACCTTGGATTTCTTCATCTTTTCATCTTTGTACAATTTATGTATTGAACATTGCACTTTGGCCGCTGAGAGCTTAGGTATTTCCTTTGAGCGGGGAGCTGACGTGCAGCTTTACACACTCTTTCAGCACGTGTGGCAATGGATCAAAGTACATTCACTGTTTCTGCTTCTGAAAATATATTTAATTTAGAGCCGGGGCCAATCTGCTTCACCTCTGGCAGCTATCTTCTTATATTTGACCAAAAACAAGGAAGGAGTTGGATTTATTTTGCTACCTGTACATCTAGATGTTTATTATACATATGGTTTGTTTGAATACATATTTTTTTGCAAATTTATGAGGAGCTCTACGATATCTCAACTAGGAGTGAATTGCCTTTCATGATGGCAAGAAATGAGAATAATAGATTGTTAGTTGGCGTTATAATGACGGTACATATCCGGGGAGGTGCAGATAGCCACATTAGAAGTCAAAGACTGTCCTGGAATAATAGGAAGGCTCAGAGATAATGTACTCTCACGAGGGGGCCGCGGCATTAGCAACAGCGCAGCAGGACCCGCCGTGCACGTGTGCCAATGACGCATAAAGAGCCCTCAATGACAAAGATAGCAGAAAGGTAAATCTGTGGGCATATGGTTTTCCCTCCGCAATACATCGTACGCCATACTGCAGGCCGTCTGCACACAGAGGGACGCGGAGGGGGCTGGGATTGGGCCAGAAAAGACACTTTCAACAGACTCTAGTAAACAATCACATGAGACAAATACGGAGTTTATAAATGATTTAGTTTAGAAATGTGTCTTTGTGTTAGGGTTGAATTAGTTAAATGCTTTTGGTCTACTTTTTAAAAAGACAGTAGTGCCATTTCTGTTGTTCTTAAGCTCCACATAGCATCATTACTGAGCAAACCGTAACAGCAGGTGAAGTGAACCCAAAGTAGGTTGGTTCGGAGAATGCACACTTTTATTTTGAACCAGGTTGTGCACACGCAGGATTGAGAAAGCTCTTGAGAAACCAAATATAGGATTTTGCAAACTCTAAATTAACTGGGAGAATCAGAACCAGTCCAACACCAGTTTGTGTTGATTTGTGGGGTGAAATATTTGGTTAAAAATATTACCACTAAAGCTATCACCATTTCTCCAGGCCAGGGTTCATTTCCACTAACTCTGCATTAGCATTGTTTAGTCACATGGGGTCTAGAACATGGTCAATCTGGGGAGCACATAGCTACTGTTTTTAAAGGGTTTTATCATATTTTTCCCCACAGAAATGATTTTTAGGCAAAACTGTGGTTCATCTCTTTGTATGGTTGCTGTGGGATTAACCGGAACATTCTCTGTGGAGAAAATGTGCAACTAAAGCAGAAATGACTGAAATCAAGGTTCAGCTCAAAACAAAGAAGCTTAAAAATGATCATCACCTGCATAAAAACGCAGCTACAAAAGGCGTATTTCTTTAATCAGGCAGCACTGATGAAGGCACAGTTCTGGGATGAATGGCACTAAATGAGAAGAAGAAAGAGCGAAAGTACAGATGACATTAACTTCTGCTCAAATGATCACAGCAGGAGAGCATGCACAGTATTTAGCACCAATCTTTCCCGGCTTTTGATGTTGTTTGTAAAATCCTTGCATCCTCCGCAGATTCCTGCCTCGTGGCCCTGATGGCAGCAGTGCGGGAGAGTGCCCCCCTTCTTTCTTCATTAGATATTAATTTATTCATTACATGTTAACTCTGCAAGACCTTGGAAGAAGACGCCAGGTGACTCTTCCTCATTTGGTCCCCACCGCTCGCTCGGCTTGGGCCCGGGCAAAAACCAATGTAACCAAGTGCCACACTGCTGGTGGAAGTGCAGAGCAAATTATAGCCAGCTCCTCTAGATGGTGAGAGGGGGAGAGGTGGACTGTGGTGGTACACACACTGTGGGATACTCACGCTGCCTAAATTAAATCTGCAAATATGCATAAAACAAGGTGCCAGAAAATCCAGCTCGGTAAATAACTGCACAGTGTAAACCGATGGGTACGATACTTATTTTCACAACATTCTTTTGGCCTTTTTGCTGATGAAATATATGCATTATACCGCAAGATCTTTAACTACAGTTTGTCCAAAGTACTTGATCTCAACTGAGGTTTTGGGGTCTTATAAAAGTGACATTTTTAGATATGATAGTTGTGGAAATTCTAGTGTTGCAACAATCAGTTCATAAACATAAGGATAAAACTATCAATACATTCTGCAGTACCTTGACCAAAATAAAACTGTGGACAATCCCCACTGTCAAACTTGGTGGTGGCAGCATCATCCTGTGGTTGGTTCTACTTTTCTTCAGCAGGGACTGGGAAGAGAGTTGATGGGAAGGTGGATGGGAGCAAAATAAAGGACAGTCTAGGAAGAAAAGCCACAGGAATAAAAAAAGGTCAGTGACGGACAGGTTTCCCTCCCATATGTACAACATGAACCCTTTAATGTTCAAATTTAACTCACGTATAACACTAGTGATCAGTAATACATTTATTAAATAGTAAATATACAATATTCTATAATCCTATTTAATTGATACAATATACATGATAATGAAAATTATAAACATGAAAATTATATGTATATGTGGTGATGATGATGTTATGACACCTAAATTCATATAAAATATTAAGGTAACAAGAATATAAACTTATTATACATATACTGTATAAATCAAGGGCATATTAACTTGAATATCACTGTTGCATAACTGCACCACTGACTAAGCTAAGCTATAGCAACCATAATTTAAGTTAATTCAATTAGAATAATTAATAGGAGGTGGGAGTTTAAAAGTCTTAACTTCTTCCCACTCCTTTTTGAGCTGACTTTTTGTTATTTATTATTTATTGTTTATTTGTTTTGTTTTTCTATTCAGTTGTATTGCTGTTATTCCTTGTTCTTGTCTGACATGGCTCGAAATAAAAGTATTCATTTATTCATTCATTCATGTTCACTCCTTGAAGAAAACAATGTAATATTTTGTTTTATATGTAGGACAACACAATATGTTTTTAAATGTTTTTTGTTTTTTGTTTTTTTAACCCTCAGTTATTTTTTATTAGTTTACCAAATGAGTCAGTTAGAGGATATCAGTGCGCAAAACCAGTGGTGGTACAAAACTCTTCATCACAAAACTCTTTTGTGATGCCCCAAAAGAGTTAGATTTCAATTGCAAGCTTAAAGTAGATCTGCAAAAGGGTGAGGAAACCATTAAAGGGGTACACAATTTTTTCATGTATTGGCATAGTTAAAAAAGAGAGAATCAGAGACCAACATCTAATTGAATATGTAGCAAGCTGGAGACAAACCCCAAATAAGTTCAACATTTTTAGGGGGTCATCGATTGTGGTCGTAGCGAGACAATGTGGAGTGTGGAAAGGTTCATGGAGTATGAATACTTTTTCAAAGATTACAAGGACAAAAAAATCCGTAGATCTTCAGTCAAAACGCATGTGCTCTTACCATATGTATATTTATTTATTTATGCCTGTATTTAACTTCCAAGCTGCTTCAAAATGTCCTCACTATATACATAAGCAGTTGCAAATTTGTAGTGCAGCGTTTGTGTGGACAGAGGCTTGTGAAGAGACTTTGTCAGAGGTGTTGTGAGGGGGACTTTGTAACTTCCTCCTCTGCTAGTGAAAGAGCTCTCAATCTTTAACCGCGAAGGAGAGATCAGAGAGCTTGACGCCTTCAAGCATCAATCCGGCCTCCTCTCTGTGTGCCCCATCAATTGAAAGAAAATCCCCAGTGAACGGGACAGGCTGGCTAATCCACCGCTAAATGACACCTCCAGACGCTAATGCCCGGCCTGACCACAGAAGCAATCTCCTCCACACATGTAGCGCCCATGCTTTTCACTCAGGCCAACTTAAAAAGGGCCTGTGTCTGTCTCCTGTGTGCCACCTGCTTAGCATCCCCGCGCCGCAAGCTGCTATAGAGACACATCGCCGGGCCGGGGAGAAAGGCCCATTGTGTCCCAGACGCCTTTGAGGCTATTGTTCTGCTTGAGTGAGGCCGGCCCGACATCTGCACCATTCACACTGAAGGAAGTTGTAATCACTCCCCTACTCTTATGCAGCTCCAAGTGTATAGGAGAAGTTTAGGGACATGGTAAACAGCCAAGCTCAGAAGATGGAGAAAGGGGTGTGAAGGATTTGGCTGTTTTTGTTGAGCGGCATCAGTTTAAAGAGAAACTCTTACACAGCCCCACACAGGCCCCCTGATCCAGAGCCCCCTGCACACCCCTCCCTTCCCCTTAACCGACCCATGTGCTCTCTGTCTGGACAATACAAAGCTGCCAGAGGATTTTACTGAGTTACCTCTCCATCAAAAGCGCTGATTAATTGCTTGTCTTTCTGAAATAGGGCATAACATTTAGAGTGTATCTTTAGGACGTTTATGAAGAATTTACAAGAAGCTTGGGTCTTTCCGAGTGAGTGATGAAGAGAAAGGTGAAGTCAAAGATTTGTTTTAGTAATGACCATTGAAAAAACCTCAGTAGTTTAATTTACATATAATTAAACTTAAATGGAGGTCTGACTGGCATGGGGTTTGACGCAGGCCATGCAGGCTGTGAAGAGACACAGAGACCCCCTCTGAATCAACATGACAGGCTGCAGTAGTAGTTTTATCTCAAGCTAATTAAACAAATCAATTAGAGTCTATTGTTGTAACTGTGTAACTGATGTTCTATACTGGTAGAAATGCTCCCTTGGGGAGGCCCTCCAACCAGTTTAAAGCCCTATCCTCTACATCTCCATCTGATACTAATATAGACACTTATTTGCGGCGTGCTGTCATGTCATTGGTGCTAGGCACATTATGGAAATTGAAATGGAGGGGTTGAGGGGAGCAGGGCTGAACGCAGTGTGAGGTGCCGGGGTTCACTTCCCATCACCCTCCAAGGAGAAGTCGCTTCAGCAAACTCCAAAGTCCCTTAAAGTTCCCCATAGGCGAGTGAGTGTGCACACCCAGCTGTGTGCATCCAGACACTAGGTAAGGGTCGCACAATTAGCATACTCCTCCCTGCCAGGCAAGGCACTGCGATGCAGATAAATTATCATATTAGATTTAGCCTCCTCACTTCAACTGATTGGCTCTCAAATTGTTTTAGATGGCCGTCATTAATCCTTAGCATAGGCTAAGTGCTTTGGCTTCAGATCTGATTGCACAAACGCACCAAGGGTCAAATTAACACAATGCTAATGCCTGAACTCTATCTCATTTGTGGCGACAGGATGTTGCCTCTATTATAGGAAACAGAAAAGTCAATTGTCATTCATCTAATCTTAGATTGAGAAACTTCAGATGCTAATTGAGGTCTAAGGTAAAAGAAGAGAATGTATCATTAAACGCACATGCAGGAAACTGCAGTTTTGCATAACAGAACATAGCAAACTTTGTCAGTAGTGGTTTCACTGCACTGCCGACATGTAAACATTGTATTAATTAAATGCAATGCAATAAAATGCAACTATTCAAAAGTTGCATTTTACATTTCACTAATATGTTTATTCATATATATTTATACATAAATGTACCAATCTATAAAAAGTTAAATTATAAAATGTGCTCTTTCATGGACAATACATTCCCTAGAATCTTGAGTTTGTGTAAATCTCTAATATGACAGAATACTGTAAACACGAACTAGTTTACACCAACGTCCATTTGTTCACTGAAAAATACTGTTGTCAATTCCTTTATGGGAGACTAGTCGTCCTGGATACAGTTATATGCTGGTAATATGTTTAATCCAGTCCAAGTCATCAGTCCAAGAAGACCGATGACTCCCAGAGAGCTGCACTGCAACTACCTCTGACTACTTTCATCTGGATGGGTCAAATGCAGCTTATGTATTTGCTTCTCTCCAGGAGCTAATAGAAGATCTGTACTTAATTTTAACTGGCCAGACATGTTTCATATCCACAATCTGGTCTCACTTCCTTGCCATTGACCTGTGGTTCTTGATCTATGAAGCAAAGGTATTGTCTCGAGGCACAGTACTTTTCATCTGAAATTGCTCCTGAGTCACTACATTGAATCACTGGCCTTTTTTCTTACATCCTGTGAGAGGGTAGTTCATATTCCCAGCTGTGTTGTTGAGGTGCTAGCCCTCTCCTCCGCCCTTCATCTGGCCGTCTGTGTGTTTGTGCGCAGAGACAGCCGGGCAGACCCCCAGTATCTCTGCCTGTGCCTCCTGAGCCTCTCTCTCCTCCTCTCCTATACCTGTCATCTGCCGCGGCTAACCTCTGGTATCTCCCCGCCAAATGCACAAGCGTCCACCCTGCCATACACACACTGCACACTCCACCAACCGGCCGCCCCGCCAGGCCCCCGCACACGCAGCCAGTGTCAGCAAATGGGCTGAACTGTCTCCGCCCCAAGAATAACCCCTGACAGACAGCCCTAGTGGCCTCCCCTCGTCAACACAGCCGGCCTGGAAAGCTGACAGGCGGGGCACAGGGCAGACAGGCTACTGTAGTTCAGTGTACAGTGGGCGGGGCTTGTGGAGACACTCAGCTGTGGGCGTAGGGGATGAAGCATTCTGAATAATGTGGGTGTTTGTTTATGCACCTTCGGCTGTCACTTTAATGGGGGCTGTTTTGGTCACAGTGGCCATGTATCTGGACAATTATACATTTGTAAAAATAATATGGTGTTTGAGATACTGATATCAT